ACAAGCCAGCAGCTAGTAGCTGATAATGATATTGGTATAACACGTGTTTACATATAAACCTATGATCATATCTACTTGCTGAAGCCAAAAGATGAACTACCAAATGGATAGAGTTCATTTTGGGATATTCAAATTCATGTTTCGAATTCAAATTGCTCTTTTACATTCTATCGATTGGTAATTATATAGAGCTACTTTTATAATATATGTAGAAGCAATGGAACCTTATGACTTTACACGAAAAAGCAATGGATCCCTTATGATATATTTCTTCATCTGATATCTTCAAAACTTGGGACTCTTGAATCTGTGTAGTTATTGGCAAAGTGCCACTGTTTTGCCACCGTAGATTAACCAAATTAAGAGTTGTTGACTAAACTAAAATGCGCGGTTTGTTTACTCTTGTAGTATAAAAGAGCTTTACCACACTCACACGTGAGAGAACAAAAAAAAAAAAAACGTAAAGAAACTCAAAAATGAAGTGTCCGTACTGTTCATCGGCGCAGGGACGGTGTGCCACCACAAGCTCCGGTAGATCAATAACGGAGTGCTCATCTTGCGGTCGCGTAATGGAAGAACGGCAGACGCAAAACCACCACCTGTTTCATCTCCGCGCCCAAGACACTCCGCTCTGTCTCGTTACTTCTGATCTCCAAACTGCGGCGCAACCGTCTCCTGAAGACGAGGAAGATCCGTTTGAGCCCACCGGATTCATCACCGCCTTCTCTACCTGGTCTCTCGAGCCAAGCCCGATTTTCGCTCGCTCTTCCCTCTCTTTCTCCGGTCATCTCGCTGAACTCGAACGAACCCTAGAACTCGCTTCGTCAACATCGAATTCGAATTCGTCGACTGTTGTGGTGGATAATCTTAGGGCTTATATGCAGATTATCGATGTGGCATCGATTTTAGGGTTGGATTGCGATATCTCTGAGCATGCTTTCCAGTTGTTTAGGGATTGTTGCTCAGCTACTTGCTTGCGAAACAGAAGCGTTGAAGCTTTAGCCACTGCTTGCCTTGTTCAAGCTATTAGGGAGGCTCAAGAACCTAGAACTCTTCAGGTAATTAGAGAACCTATTTCATTACAAGTTTTAATGGCAGATTTAGCTACTTAGTCTCAATTACTTGAAGTTACATTGCTAGATGAATTGTTTATGTTAGAAAACTAGTTCGTTCTCATCGTTTTGAGTTGAAAGAAGTTGTGACTATATGGTTGATTCTGGATAAATTATCATTGTAGTTTCTTGAACAGCTACCATCGTTTTCGAATTGAAGAACTATGACCAGTCTATGCTAGGTTTCTAAAGCTTGTGTGTTTGCTTGAAGGAATTAAGCTTCCATGTTGGTGTACTTTATCTTAATCAATAACTGTTCTTATCATTTGTCTCAGTTGTTTGATGATATTTTTGACATGTTTTGTTCGTAAATTAGCTTTTAGATGGATATCGTATCGTAGAATACAGAATTATCTTTTCTAGAGGCAGATTTTGTTACAACCAAATGTGGACCATCACTTATGAACTTATACAGGAGCAGCACTTCTTTCAGTTTATTATTGAGACTTGATTTGTGTCTAATGTATTTGTCTTACTTTGCACAATAGGAAATCTCCATTGCAGCCAATGTACAGCAGAAGGAAATTGGGAAGTACATCAAGATTTTAGGAGAAGCTCTACAACTAAGTCAACCCATCAACAGTAACTCTATATCAGTTCATATGCCAAGATTCTGTACCCTCCTTCAACTAAACAAATCTGCTCAGGTGTGCTACTAAACTTATACTTCTTTTTGAAAGGCCTAAAATGCAACGTGAATAGTGTATCAATGCATGGACTTTTTCCCGCTTCCAATGACTTTTCACTATCCAATGTGACACTTTGCAATATCTCAGATGCACTACTCTGATGCCTATTATGATCCCCCTAAGTATTTGTCTGTTTTCAATCTTCCTAGGAACTAGCAACACACATTGGAGAAGTTGTGATCAACAAATGCTTCTGCACCCGTAGAAACCCGATCAGCATTTCTGCAGCTGCTATCTATCTGGCATGTCAACTTGAAGACAAGCGAAAGACACAAGCAGAGATATGTAAAATAACCGGACTAACTGAGGTAACTCTACGCAAAGTCTATAAAGAACTGCTAGAGAATTGGGACGATCTACTTCCATCTAACTACACACCAGCTGTGCCACCAGAGAAAGCATTTCCCACAACCACAATCTCCACAACCCGCTCAACAACTCCTAGAGCCGTGGATCCACCTGAACCTAGTTTCGTGGAAAAAGACAAGCCCTCTGCGAAACCAATCGAAACTTTCGATCATACCTACCAACAACCGAAAGGCAAAGAAGATAAGCAGCCAAAATTCAGACAGCCTTGGCTGTTTGGAACTGCCAGTGTCATGAACCCAGCGGAGATGATAAGCGAGCCAGCAAAACCTAATGCTATGGACTATGAAAAGCAACAACTCGATAAGCAGCAGCAGCAGCAGCTAGGCGATAAGGAAACATTGCCTATATATCTAAGACACCATAACCCATTCCCTTCAAATCCATCTCCATCTACAGGTATCAGCACAATCAATTGGTCATTCCGACCATCTGTTGTCCCCGGATCTTCCAGCAACTTGCCTGTTATTCATCCCCCAAAACTACCTCCGGGTTATGCTGAGATTAGAGGTAGTGGAAGCAGGAATGCTGATAATCCCCATGGAGACTTCTAGAGAACTAATAGATTAGTCGTGATGATAATCTTCATTTCGTTTACTCTGTCTTTGTGTGTATCTTGGGCTATGTACAAAATATGCTTCCGAGCAGCTGTCGCGTCTGATCTTGGGCTTTGTATTAGCCCATTTACGTTTTGGCCCATTATTTCTCGACTACGACAAAATCAAAGTGGAAGATTTAATCTAGAAGGTGGGCCAATTTGTTGTTCCTTTTAAATATTGTTTTTTTAATTAAAGAAAAGACCAAGAAAATATGGAAGAGTCGTGAAGGAACTTGCTACGAAGATGCCATTTGTCAATGAGAAAACGTGCAATGAATCGGTAAAACACCAACAACAACCCATATTAGCTGTCCCTTTCCCAAAACGCCTTTACTTTGTAATTTCTTTTGTGTAAAACAACCGCCTCACATTAAAAACGCCACTAAACACGTAATCTCTCCAACAATATAAATCTTAGACCGTTGATCTAAACGTTAATCAATTAATCTCGTCCGTCCATTACTCCCAACCCTCTATATATAACAACGCGTCGACCTAATTAAGTTCTCATACCCGCTTTATTCATTGATTCATTCAATTTTTGTTCATCGTTTTCTCTAGATCTCTCTTCTATATAGTCCTCTCGGAGGTTTTCCGATGAAGATCGTCACTGATCTCCTTCCGATCTACAGATCGGCGTCTTATACGAAGAGATCCAGAGGCTCCGGTTGATTCCTCGTCAGAAGACGGATCGTCGCGGTTGAGCTCCGAAGATCGGTTGAAGATCTGGTAAATTATGGCTTCTCGTAGCTGGATCTGATAATTGATTCGTTTAATTCGATTGAATTCTTTGTAGTTATGTATATATTCGTTGTTTTCGATTCCAGATCTGATCTTAGATCATGAACCGGCCTCGAGGTTCGTCAGATCTGCGTTACTGAGCTTTTGATGAGGTGATGAATGATGAATCCGTCAATTCTCTATGGAGCTAGAGAGATGAGAGGGTGAAGAAGAGAGAAGAAGCTGATATGTGATATTGATGTGAGTTAAGTTGATTGATGGATGTATGAGATGTTTATAGGGACGATATAGTTCTGCGTAAACATCTTTGTCATCCGACCTTTGCCATGACAGGTGCGCTTGCATGGCAGGTCACCAAAATCCTTAATAAAAAAAAAAAGTTTCGTGTTGTCGAGGGGAGTTCGCACGGGGGATTTTTTTTGCCCGGGTTCTCCCCTCTTGCGTGTGTGTCTTGCTTCTCGCTCTTCGTACACACTACCTTTGATCTCGATTCATTCACGTAAATTCTCTCAATACCACAGAAATATTCTCGATCCGGATCTTAAGATCAGCGGATCTGGAGACAAGCTGGCCAAATCTTAATCCAACATCCTCCAACCAAGGTACCTTCAATTTTGAGTTTAAATTCTCCGTTATTCTCTTTATTTGCATCATATAACAAACCTGACACCAAATATTTATTACAATCTCGAATCGGCCTTTATTTTTGAGCATGGAAATAGTTGCCTCATTTTCAAATTGACTGTTATAATACATTATTCACAAAGTACTTCTACCAAAGTATTCGTAGGACCTTAAATTGTCTAATCGAACGGTTCCATGGCAGTTTGTTATATTCTCCACTTTATCTATCTACTGTTGTTTGATGTTTGTACTTTTTCTGTAAGAATTCTCATTGGAAGAAATTGTACCCAGTTTTATGATTACGTAAAGAAATATCAGTAGTGAATTTTTGACCTATTCTAGAAAATAGCGCTGTAGTATTTAGTCTCTCGTATGGGTTTTACGATTTGGATTTATCACGGCTGCATTCATTAGCAAGAGCTATGGCTAGAGTAGCTAGCTCCTGGAGAAGTAATACGAGTATCGAAGGTCTCTGATTTTTGATATGATGGCGTTTGGACTCGATTCGAGCCTGCAGTTTCGATTGATATATACTCTGTTGTTGTATCATTTCGTACAGTAGTTTTTTTTAGACTTTTGCATTCTGATGGGATCTTTCAAATTTAATAAGTCAGTTTCAGTTTATGCATTGATCATTGTTTGATATCATACAACTCTGTGGTGTTACTACTTCAAATTAGTTCTATTTGATGATTTTATATATAAATTTCAAGTTTGATTTATATCTAATTTGGTTTTATTAAACTCTTGCAACCGTGGGCTTTCCGTCTTCAGGATGCTTCAAGTGGGGTGGAATATTGGAGCGACCATATTAGAAATGATTCTCGGTAGCCCATGGAGTTGAACCAAATAGGCAAGGTTTGTGCTAATAGATCTGTAAGCTCAAAATGGTAGAGCTCTCATTATGAGAGGTTGGTGGTTCGAATCCATCCAGATCTGTCGACTTTCTATCCTCTTTTACCTTTATCATGTCATTGTATAACACAATATTTCAAATCTATGTGTGTTGAATATGATCTGCCGATGTTATTGCTAAAACCAGGGCAGCCGTAAAAGGGCCTCTGTAAAATTTAGCATCTGCCACGGAGGAAGGTGGAATTGATCATTTTTAAAGCAACGGCGTCTAAACATGGACTGACATCCTAAGTCCTAACTAGTTGTGTTATTTGGACTACAAGCAATAAGCAAGGAGCATAATTCACTTAACAGTAATAAAAAAACATACTAATGAAAGATGACTGCAAAACTCTGTTAATCATTGTTGGGTTATGATATTTATCAAGGCTAACTCATTCACCATCTCTATGTATTCGTCATTTCTTAGTTGATAAAGAATATTTTTATAATATAAAAAAAAAGTTAAGGTAATTAATTTCATATTTTTTAAAGGAACTTTAAAAATTCATGTACTTTCTTAAACAAACAATGTCATATTGAATATATGGTTTAAATATGTTATATATAGAGGTGGACAATCCGGTTTACTTGGTTTGGTTTTTAGGTTTTAGAAAGAGTGAAAACCAGTGTTACATTTTCGTTTTGCTATAATGCTAGTTTTTTTTTTTTTTTTTTTTTTAAAACCTAGTATTAATAATTTCTAATAATAATTTGTGTGATACAGACTATTCAATATTATAAATACCTTTCATTCATATAGATAACATTATGCATATAAAGTTTTGTTAAATTCCAGTTGATTGAGGTCGGCAACATTTGAATACTAATATTTTTTATGTGGTAACAAGTAACAACAACAATTTAACAACAACTGATAAGATGTTCTTTCGATTATATGAAGAAAACGTCGACTCCAAATACAGAGAAACTATCAATATAAAATAACATTATTCTCAGTGTATACCTATTTGATAGAAGACCAATATATATCTTGGTAGAAGAGATGATATGAAAGTATCAGATTAAGAAAAGATTTGGTGTCGGATTAACGTCACATGGTGTTATTTTAAATTGTATGCCATTTAATAATCGTTCCATTGTCAATGCTGTTAATATAATACAAAACCAAATATATGTTAACTAACATAGTCCAGGAACCGTTTAATTTGATTAAACCAAATCATACGCACATGATTGCGATGATAAACCGAATCTTTAATATTATAAAAATCAATAGATCGAGTAAAACGTTACATTTTAATTATTATTATTAGCTGATGCTGTCCTTTATGGACTTTTCTTCTTCGCTTTTTTGTTATTCTACCTAAAACCATGAAAGAGTGGTTTGCACATAAATACATAATGAATATAGTATGAAAAAACTGTTACATTTTTTAAATTATTTTGAAGCTAATTAGTGAACTCAATAAGTTTTCTAATCATAATTTACCTGTTCTCTATCGTGACACAATAAACAAAGACAGATAAGAGTTAGTTAAACGTGAAAGAAGGTTAGAATTTTGGAAAATGACCAAATTTGTTATTACTTCACCAAATTCGGATCTTGTCCTCTTGTCATAAAATCATTTCAGATCTGAGTTATTTGGTCCAACGCCAATACTGAAAATTAATGTTATTAAAGTAAATCATATTTATTATTTTCAACCAATGGGGCCTTTCACAATAACAAACAAAGGGCCAGCTTTAAAGTTTTATTGAAATTTTACATGCCACATAAATTGGTTAAAATACATTTTCTTCACGTTTCTCGCTTTTTAAGTCCCTTTGAAGTGGGAATGATACTCGCGTGACGACCAAACTCCATCGAGCCTCTCTCTCTCTCTCTCTGTGATCAGTTTAATCTACTGAAAGAAAGAAAGAAAGAACGAAAGAAAGATCCGTATTATTAGGTAAGAATGAGATTCCCTTTTACGTTTCGATTTTGATTCGTTTGTGTTTGATTCTCGATCGTTTTGCTTCGATTTAGCTTCCTTCTGTTTTTACAAGTCTCTCTTGATTAGAAATGTTTAGGTTTCAATGTTTCATGATCATATTTAGAAAAAAGTTTCATGGTGACCAAAAAAGAAAGAAAATTTTGATGGCTGAGAGATGTCAGAGTCTTGTTTTGTTTTTTTGATAAATTCTCTGTTTGTGTGCTTTTAAAAAGTCAAATATAAGAAATTCTTTGAATCATTTAAAGCCGTATTTATGTCCTTTTGACAAGTCGATTTAATGCTTTCTAGAAGAGAGTTTATCAGATGTTAAGAAGATTCAAAGTTGGATTATAACGAAAATTTGTATACCTCATTAGAGATTTTTCAAGTGGTAAATACTAATAGAATTCATGATCCCGTTTTAGATGTAAGATTTGGTTGTGTTTATCAGTTTTCTATTAATAGCCGATATTATTAAAACCTTTTGCTTAATCTTGGATCTGATTTAATTTGCTTTAAATTGGACTTGAAAGAAATCTGAATTTGATTTGATCGTTTCTAGGCTTCGAAGCTGTCTCAAGATTGTTGTTTAATTAAACATGTTCAGAAGAAGGAATGCTCACCAACTCGACAATGATGATTCTCAACAAGATAACAAGGTACAATAAGCTGCTTCTTTTTCACACTATATGAAAACATTAACATATATTTTGGAAAGTATTTAAAACACTTGTACAAATTTCAGGTTAGAGAATTGAAATCCGCGATAGGACCATTATCGGGACATAGTTTAGTTTTCTGCTCTGATGCTTCCTTGAGGAGATTTCTAGATGCTCGTAATTGGGATGTGGAAAAAGCCAAGAAAATGATCCAAGAGACTCTTAAATGGAGATCAACTTATAAACCTCAAGAGATCCGTTGGGTAAATATTTGACTTTATTATATACTTCATTTTAATCTTCTTGTTACTTTGTATTTTTTTCTTACTTTTTTTTTAATCATCTTCTTCTGATTCTCTTCAGAATCAAGTAGCGCATGAAGGTGAGACTGGAAAAGCTTCAAGAGCTAGTTTTCATGATCGACAAGGTAGAGTAGTGCTTATAATGAGACCAGCCATGCAGGTAACTAAGCCCATTGTCACCTTTATGAATATTTTTCTTGAGTTTTTTTTAAAAATGATATCTCACTTAATAAAAATGAAACAGAACTCAACATCACAAGAAGGTAATATCAGGCATTTGGTGTATCTTCTTGAAAATGCAATCATAAATCTTCCCAAGGGACAAAAACAAATGTCTTGGCTCATTGATTTCACTGGTTGGTCTATGGCTGTTAATCCTCCTATGAAAACAACACGCGAAATCATTCACATTCTACAGAACTATTACCCTGAGAGACTCGGTATCGCCTTTCTCTACAATCCACCAAGACTCTTCCAAGCAGTCTACAGGGTACACAAAAAAAACATTCGTCATTATTACAAAACCATCAAAATTGTCTCTCTTCTCTTTTTCTTTAAAAAGGTTTACTATATACCTACTATATTCTTTCATGTAGGCTGCTAAGTACTTCTTGGACCCACGTACAGCTGAAAAGGTGAAATTTGTGTACCCAAAAGACAAAGCAAGTGATGAACTGATGACGACACATTTTGACGTTGAGAATCTCCCCAAGGAATTCGGAGGTGAAGCAACACTAGAGTATGATCATGAAGATTTCTCACGACAAATGTATGAAGACGATCTCAAAACCGCAAAATACTGGGGACTAGAGGGGAAGCACTATCCGAAAACAAACGGTTTCTCTCCATCCGATGTTGTTCCTGAGCCGGCGATAGAAATCGCATCAGCAGCTAGCTGAGAGTTGAACGATATATACACACAAGAGCAAGAAGAGAAGAAGAATAAAAGGGTTATTCTCATTCATAGAAGAAAAGCCAATAGAATGTGCTGGTTAACTTGATGATCAATAAAGTTTCAAATAGTCTTTGCCTCTTTTTCTTATTAGTGAGCCAAACACTTTGTAACGTTTTAAATTAGCAGAGACTATCCTGTATGTGTGAGAGAATATTGTTACCATGTGTAATACTACTAGTTTTGTGTTATTAGTTGAAGATATGAGATTATCCTTTTAGTTCTATTGTTTCTCATGTTAAATACAGTTATGATGAAATCAGAGAAGTTATTGTCGTCTACTGAAGTGATGATCAAATCTTAGACTTTAAATATAATATTAAACTTTAAATATAATACTGAACTCAAAGAGAACAAAAGGTCCCGTAGCTCAGTTGGTTAGAGCGTTGGTCTTATGAGCCGAAGGTCGCGGGTTCGAGCCCCGCCGGGACCATTTGTCCTTAATTCATTTAAATTTTTAAATTTTACGATTTTTCCTTTTTTTTCATAATTTATCAACGCACGTTGTGAAAAAAAAAAAAATCAATCATCTCTGTTGTAATTGGATTTTGAACATGATGAATCTTTGGTGATTCCCAGAAGAAGAACCCAGAAATCGATCGAAGATATGGTTCACAACGCTTATGATTCGTTTCAGCTTCTCAAAGATTGTCCCGCTAGGATCGATGCTGTTGAATCCTACGGCTCCAAGCTCTTCGCTGGATGTTATGACGGTTCTCTCCGCATTTACTCTCCACCGGAATCTTCTGCCTCCGATCCGTCGGAGCTGCATCAAGAGACTTACGTGCTAGAGAAGACGGTAGCTGGATTCTCTAAGAAACCGATTGTGGCGATGGAGGTTTTGGCTTCGAGAGAGTTGCTTTTGTCTCTCTCTGAGTCAATTGCGTTTCATGGACTTCCTAATTTGGAGACTGTTGCTGTGATTACTAAAGCTAAAGGTGCTAATGCTTATTCTTGGGATGATCGGCGTGGGTTCTTGTGTTTCTCTAGGCAAAAGAGAGTCTGTGTTTTCAAGCACGATGGTAAAAATCTCTGAAACTCAACTTTGAATCATGAGGATTGGATTTTGATGAAATGTTGTTTCTGTTGATTTTTTAGGAGGAGGAGGATTTGTAGAGGTCAGAGACTATGGAGTTCCTGATACTGTCAAGTCTATTTCTTGGTGTGGAGAAAACATCTGTTTAGGCATTAAGAA